CAAAATAGTGTATTTCAACATTGAAAAATTATGTACTTTGATCGGCTTTCAAGTTATAGTTCACTAAAAACGTTTTACTCGTCATTCCAAACCTGCATTTTATTCTATCCAGGGTACTGTGAGAAATGTCTCTATGGTTTTTTTTTTTCTCTCCATACAATGGAAGTCAATGGTTACCAAACGTGTTTGGTTACCAACATTATTCAAAAATGTTTTCTTAGAAGAAAGAAAGATTTGGAACAACATAAGGGTGAGTAAATGAAGACCGAATTTTTACTTTTGAGTCAACTGCCCCTTTAAATCCTTTGAGACGGTTGTAATAATGTTTATGTAAAGCGTGCTTCTTAAACATTTGTAATTGTAACTCAGGTTTCTATATCATTATGAAAGCAGCAGTTATATAAGATGAAGCTTTGGACTCCCCCAAGTATCAATGGGTTTTTCTTCTTAATTACTTTAACTGCTTGTAACTTAGGAAATAATGTTTAAACTGTGGAAAATTAAATCTCCCATATGACAAAGCAAGCACTATTATACAAAGGAAGGGGCCCATTTTGTTAATGGTTCCATGCAAGAATTGGCCATCTTGCCCAATAATGTTCACCGTACATCTCAGTTCATTTGTTTACCGCAGAGTCAGCAGAATAAAGATGGCAAATAATAACGTGTGGGTCTCTAAAAATGGAAAAGAGAGTGAGCGGGAACAAGAGAAAGGGGGAAGGGGATGTGTTTTGACCAAAAATGAAACTTGAATTATGTTTTTCAGGCTTTAGCATCAGACCAGTGAACTGAATTACTCTTGATTTGAACTAACATTTTCTGGTTCACAAAACACTTTCTGAAATTACTGAATGCGTTACTCTTGAAATTTCGTAAATATGCAGGTAGACTTATACTGCTTTTGGCAAAGAAGTGTGGATTATCTATTTATCGTTGCCTTTCAAATGGTTGACTCATCAGTTTCGCTATTGCTCTGTATTTCATGTCCAGGGATAAATATATATACTACCTACTGTATCTTTGCCGGCCCAAATGTCACTAAGCTGATTGGTGGTAATGGAGGGAGTTTATGTCAGCCATGTTTATGTATGCTTTTAGTGTATTCCCACTTGGGAGGCACATTTTTTACATAAAGGAATAAAGATAAAAAGAAATGATTGATAATAGATGGAATGTTGTGTGTTGTAGACTGCTGGATGACCTTACCATCCGTGTAGAAGGGACGGTCGAGGTGATAGCACATAGGTGATGGTCCCGTGGGGGCTCTACAGAGGGAGCTTTCGACTGGGAATATCTGTGTGTGAGTGTGTATGTGTGTGTGAGAGTGCGCTCTGAGGCAGGTTGAGGTCTGGCTGGCCGGGAGAGGCCTGTTCATTTCACAGCTGTAGTGGGATTATGTGGAGTCAGGGTGGAGGGGGTAAGCCTGGCCCTTTTATCTCATTCAAACATGCTGCTAATTCAGCAGCACGCGGCTGGCACCGCGACTAGCACGCTAATCACCGCATCACTTTCCCCGCAGTGAATAAACCTCCATTCTAATCCCCAATCAACCACACTGACACCCGTTTACACACTCCCGACACCGGGAAACGGACACAGAGAGAGAGAGAGCGAGGAGGAGAGGAGCAAAGGAGGAACCAGCTGGGGGTTGTGACACAGAGAAAAAGCAAGAAATAGTAGTAAGAGTAATAGTACATTTACCAAAACCTAACCTAATAAAGGGTTTCATTTGTTAACATTTACGAATAGCCATTGAAAATATGGTTACACTTTGTTTTAAGGTGTGCTATTACAGTATAATTACAAAAATAAGTACTTATATATAATTAATGCTTTATATAAAACTATCTGGGTATTTTGAGCTAAAACTTCACATACACTCTCTGGTGGACATCAGAGATTTATTTTACACCTTGTGAAAAGGGCATTATACCACCCCTTTAAGCTAAAACTTCACACTCTGTGTACATCAGAGACTTATTTGTAAACGGGGGCATAATATGTGCCCTTTTAATATTAATTGGTGGTAATTTGATGGAAGTAAACAAAATTGGAAATTCAATAACAAAGAAACACAAAGGAGATAACTTGAAGACACGGAATAAAGCAAACACATAGCCTACACGCTTAACAATACAGGACAAGGAACTTAAGTACAGAGGGCAAACAAAGGAGCTAATGAGTTAATTAATAAGGCACAGGACAGGAGACTAGGAGACTATTAAAGGGGTGGTATAATGCCCCTTTCACAAGATGTAAAATAAATCTCTGATGTCCCCAGATTGTGTATGTAAAGTTTTAGCTCAAAATCCCTCACAGATATTTTTACACAGCATGTTAAAGTTGTCACTTTTTGAGGGTTAGCAAAAACGCACCATTTTGTTTCTTATATTTCTGAATTATAAGGTGCGAGCAAAGATTTACGATTGTGATTCTGTTGCTGTCAATTTTCTCGGTGAAGAAGTTCATGAAATCATTACTAGCCTACTAAAATGTAACGGGATATTTTGTTCGGGTGACACCTGTTTATTTGTTAGTCTTGCCACAGTGTTAAATAAAAACCTTGGATTAATTCGGTTGTTTTCTATTAGTTTGCTAAGGTGCTCAAACCTGGCCATTTTGAGGGCCTTTTTACAACGTGACATACTGTATTTCTACGCGATTCTAAAGACCTCTTAATTCGTTTTTTTTTCCATTTACACTCTAAATTACTGGTTTCTCTCTTTAAAACATAATAGTATTATTGTACCATGGTGCTGTTACTTCTCAGACCTTTTTTAATCTAATGCGTGCAACAATATCCAATGTTCTAGAGAGAATGGAGCTCATAGTGCTAGTTAGTTTGTCTAGTTCATCTGTTTGTTTGGGTTCAGGCAGCAGCTGAGTCAGATCAGATAAGCTATTTGAGAAATGATCTATGATGGATGGAAGAATTGTTCTACCTGGTCGATAACGTGGCACAGCATGGTATATTACAGCAGTACGTAATATGCAAGTAACCATGACTGGTCAGTGACATTGTCACTTTGTGGAATGATATCTATATCGGTTCGATCGGTTCCATAGTTGGTCCGGTGACGTGACGTTTTGCTTAAACCCGAAGGAGTTTAATAAATCCGTGAACACAGCCCCTAACGCAGCATTTGAATTAACTACGTGTAGGTTACAATATCCAACAATTAATGCTTTATCGACGTTGACCAATAGATCTGATGGAATGTCTGCAAACTCTTTTAGGAAATCGGCGTAAGGCCCTGGAGGTCTATATACACTAGCAGCCATGTTGGATTTAGGTCAGGCTGAATAAGTGATTACAAAAAAAATTGAAGCAATCATGTGAGCAGCATACTCAAGACAGACCAAGCTGTCATAAGTGATAAAAGATATCACTGATGAAAAAAATCTTTCTTATGCCCCAAAAAATACAATAAAAATGTATCTCGTGAGACACGTTGCCTGTTTTATGGTTTGTAATGGAGAGGCAGACTAGAAAAAGTGAAAAGCGGTAAAAATATATCACCCACAATTACCAATGGGTTAAAGATGATGAGGTTGAGTGCATCAGTGTTTGTCTGCACTATACTGTAATGCCTAAGATTGGTTGGAGATGAATGCAAATGTTTACTGTGTTTTTAGCAATAATAGTAGACGTAGAGTAGAAAAGGAAATTTTCTTTCATTTTTTTCTTTTTTTTTCTCCATAAGTCAAAAATAAACAAAGAGGGTCATGAAAGTCAACCATGAAGTATGTCACGATAATATACTAACATCTCAACTAGACGGAAATGTACTAACACGAGCCATGGTCTTTTAAATGATGTGTCTGCAGGGCAGATACAGACACAGTGTTTTGTCAATGATATGAAAAAGTGATGAGATATTGATATAGCTATCAAAGCTACATTTCAAAACTTGCCATCTCATCAAATGCACATCTATGATATTAAACATAAGCCTCTTAGGAGAAAATATAGAATTACATGGAGAAGGAGAGAGAGAAAGAGGGAGATAGATGGAGAGAGAGAGAGTGTTTCAGTGTACTCATTTTCCTACACACACATCAGATCAATGAGGAAGGAATTAATGTTTGATCCTGTCTTATTGGATACTGTCAATCTCTATAGTTGATTGTTTAGATGGATGGATGATGATGGCAATTACTATTATTATTGCACCAGTATTGTTTTTTTTATTTTTTAAATAATCTATATATATAAAAAAAGATTGGTACAATCTATTTACGTCTAAAGTTAGACAGGTTTCATGGTGTTAGGGTTGGTTAAGGGGTAGGTGCAGGGTCAAGTGTGTAATAATGATGTATTTACAGAAATTAATTACAGATCAGTTTCTCAGTTTACTTTTTCCTGTGTTCTTGTTTTAGTTTCCTCCAAAAAAATATCTTGTGGCCACGACTTATCACGTTCCCACAAGTTAATATGATGTTCCAATGAATTAATATCTCGTAGCAACGACATATCACATTCCCACGGGTTTATATGCAGAAATTTGTCTAATGTAAGTACAAAAGCAATATACTGTATATACTGACACAAGGAAAACACTCATATATTTCCATTCATACAGTATGTGCAGACATAAACACACAGTAGGAAGTCTGCACCCCCTGCAGATACAGCAATCATTCACTCTATCAATGAATGTAATGTGCTGATGTTTCACATTGTGTTCTTAATACAGACAAGCATTATCATGTTGTTCTTTCAGAACTTTACATATTCTTATCATTCTAAATTCTAAATACAAAAATGCAATTATAGTTTATCATATGCATAAAACTTTTTTTTTCTTCCATTTTTACTCAGCTCAAGCTATGAATAAAATAAATTCAATATATTTTCTCCCAAGGGCCCACACTTAACAGTTGAGTATCACATTGATTCTGTTCTGACTCGTGTTAATTTGCAACATTAATGCAAATGAATCTCTGCAGTCGCATTCTGAGAAATTATGCACTTTAAAGTACGAGACAAAATTGTTAGGATTAGTGTTTGTCATAGATATACATATGTGTAAAAACAAAAAAAACAAAAAAAAACAAATAGCATCTGCCTGCATCGACAACGTTCACACGCACAAATACACACGTACAGTTAGAGTCACTGAATACTTAATAAGGACCTATGGGACAGATCCAAACCTTCTGTGGGACAGTTTAAATCTTCCACACACATCACAATAAACACATAAACTCTCCGTTTCTCATTTTCTCTCCTCTGTTCTCTTTCTTTCTTCTTCCCAGTGTCTCTCTTGTATTGTATCAGCCCCTAGGGTAATTATGGATGAGATGTGGAAATCTGGGTGTATTATTTAGTTCTGTAATACACAAACCAAAAGGGAATGGCAATTATTTTCTCTCAGTTTATTATTCCACAAAAGCCATCAGAGTAGAGAGTGTGTATGTGTGTGAGGGTTAGGTTTTTGTCTACATTGTTGGGACTAAATCAATTACAATATGAATTCCAGCCAATTTTTCAAAGCATGAAAATGCCTTTAAAGCATATCATGTAATGTAAAAATGCCTAAAGATTTATTTGATTGTTAGGTGAAGGGGTAGAAAATATCATTATCAGTTATTTATCAATGTCAATTTATCAGTCAATTAAATCAATATAAAGTTAAACAATGCTTCTGCTCTTCTTTTATGTCTGCTTCTTATTGTTGATTATTGCACAGCTCTCAGGATTATTGAATCTGGTCAAATGCAGCACTCTGCAAACAAATGTGATTATATATATATATATATAGCTTAACTATGTTCCTACATGTATTGTTTAATGTCTTTTAAAAAAAATCAATTATTCAATTAATGATCATATTTCAAATCACATTCATATTTTATATTTCACATTTCATTTATATTGCGCTTGTCTTGTACCCAAAGCGCTAAAAGTACAGTACCAAAGTAAATACATTAACAATTAAGATACATTAACATACACCAATTAAGACACAAACACATTCTTAAAAAAAGATGAGTTTTAACAGTTTGTTAAAACTCGTTAATGTTGTAGCATAGTTAAAGGAAGTGCATTCCACAGGGGTTGCCACAGAGAAAGCTCTTTCACCCATAGTTTTCAGTCTACAAGAAGGCTGGTTAAGTAGAAGAGAGTGGGCGGAGAGATCAGAGGGCATATATGGCATAATTAAATCACATATGGTGCAGTTCCATGTACAGCTTTATACACTGTAAAATCCAATTAGTACAGCTTACTTGAAAAAAGCATGCAAACCGATTGCACTTAAAAAACGAGTAAAGTAAGTAAAAGAGTAAAGTGAAATAGGAATAATATGTAGTACTAACAAGTGCATGTCTAGTAGTGTACACTTACAAGAGAGTTCATATAACTTAAAATAATTTATATACTACACTTGATCTTTTACTTTAGATGTACTCATTTATGCTAGTTGTGTAAGAGTTTTAAAATCAATACGGGCATGTACCAGAAGCCAATGCAGGTTCTTAAGAAATATGCTGACGAAAAGGTGTATGTGTAACATGTGCAGCTGAGTTCTGTATGTGTTGCAGTCGCTTAATAGTTTACATTTGGTGAGGCGTACAATATTAAACCCATTCAGAATGAAACAAGAGCCATCTGCATCGTGTTGGGCTCTTGATATCACCCTGGTAGAAAAACAAAACAAAAAATAAAACATTCCTACCTGTAGCCTTTGTTATCCTGAAGACATTGATTAGCTTGTTCAGGTGTGTGTTGCGCTAAACTATGCAGGACGGCGGCACTTCAGGACTGAGGTTGCCTCTCCCTGCAATGGAGGCTCGCAGTGATGACACATTTTTGGAGGCCAGACAAGTTAGCATCACCCTGGTTCCCTTGACAAAAAAAAAAAAAAAGAAATGGATTTTTCAATTGCCTTTTGGATATCTTTCAGAAAATAAACTTTGGGATCAAAAAAAAAAAAAAAAAAAAAAAAAAAAAAAAAAACACCTCTTGAGAATGTGGAGTCATGTGCCTATTTGGGCGGGGTCTGAGCCGGTCGGCCATGATGGTATGGTGACGCTATCGGTTACCAGGGTTTTTATCGGTTTTTAATGCAGCAGTTACTTCCAGGCATGGTAAAACAGTGCGGTATTGCGAGAAACTCCTCTACTACCGAGCTAAAAACACACGTAATCAATACTGTTTTGTCGTGGGAATCCTACCAACATGGCGGAAAGGAGAGGGGCACTGTAAAATGACGTCAACTCCTCATTCTCAATATGTGACTGGCATATTTTGCTCATCATGTAAATCTTCATAAATGAATGCAGCTTTTATGAATTTTGAAGCCTAATTACAATCGGCATAAATAAAAAGCTAAATGCTATATATATATATATATATATATATATATATATATATATATCCATTTAGCCAACAGTCAACAGTAAATGCTATATATATATATATATCCATTTAGCCAACAGTCAACAGTAAATGCTATATATATATATATATATATATATATATATACTGTATATATATATATCCATTTAGCCAACAGTCTTTTTCAAAACGAATGCTTTAAAATAATTCACAGGGGATATTACTGATGTATTTTATGTCATAATAAACCATGAAAATATCTTAAGCTCATGTTAACCACAGATTGTATTTCAGGCATTTAATAAAAAAATAAATAATAAAAAAAAAACGATTTTAAAAAAAACAAAACAACAACAAATACAAAACACTGACTTCAGTGCCAATGGAACCATAAGTGCTAAAATACTAATTCATTTCTGGGTTTTGGCCTACATAAATTAACTAAATTAATAACTTTTTTTTACAACAAAAATGAGCTTACTTAACCTGGACTGTGACACTATTTTCTACAAACTCTGTTGCATTATTTTCCTGTTATCTCTGTAAAGCTGCTTTGAAGCAACCTTAAAAGCACTATATAAATAAAGGTGACTTGACTTGACTTAAACATGACACAAATCACCTTTAATCTGAAATATATGATTTTTTTTTACGCACTTATGACCTTTTACCCGCACCTGTTGTTTCTTCATCTGTCTCATTTTGTCTCTCTGAGGGCTTCAGCTAAACTTCAGGGCAGAGCTGAACACCAGATGAAGGAGCCTGAGCATTAAAGTGTACATGAACATCTGCCACAATTCTTTAAACTCCTTTTCCATCTCCTCCACAGATCCCAATGAAACGGTATCATCATTCCCCTCTCCTCATCCACATCACAGCTCTCTATCCCTCTTAGCAAAGCTTTCTCAATCTCTCCTCTTCTTCTTTGAAGCTCACCTGCCCTACATCCTGTTACTATAGGAAGCGAGAGCACGATTGTGTAAGTAGGCCTGCATGCTTACTGAGTCTTTGCGACTATTCTGCCTGACAAAAACGGTTTGGGAACTTTGAGATGACTGTGGAAACACAGGAAACCCACACCTAGGGTAATAGAGACACAGGAGGAACAAACAAAACAAAAAAAGGAGGGAGAGAGGAAAGCAAAGAGGGAGTACAGTGGGGTAAGAGTTAAAGTTTGTGGTCAGCAGCACCACGGGCATCATAAATCAGATTTCCCACAATCCCTGTGGAGGAGCCCTGCACTCGGCCTGCCGCAGACACGCTCAGTGGGGCGTTGCACATCGATTGGCGTCGCCACTGTGATGATGAGTGCTGCGGGGTCTGGGGCTGAGGGGGGATAACGTGTGTATGTGTGTGTGCAAGATGGAGGTGAGGTCTACTTGCTCATGAAGAAGTCTACCTCAGCACCTGCCCCGAAAAACAGCGAGTTGGACCTGAGCGAATGTGCAGACTCTGGGCCTATTTACTCTCAGATCAGCATTCACCTTCTGTCTCTCACGCACAGATTCAGGAAAAACAAACAATAGCATGCTGACACACACACACACCGAGCTATATTTACATATTCATCACAAACACAGCTGAGTAGCTGAACAGTTGCTCATAGCTCAACGGACTGCAATCCGTCCTCTAATAAGCATCAAATGATTAGATATTTACTGTCACCTCATGGTTCCTTTTAAATGTTTTCAGGCTGGATGCAAGTTTTGCGTTGAAGTTGACTCTTTGTACTGTTTGAAGTTATTGAAAGCCACAGATAAATGGTGTAGCATAAAGAATCAATCAACACTTCCACGTTTAACACACTAAGTAGGCATTACATTACAATACAACATTACATTTACAAATAAGGAAGTCACACGAAAACTGCATGGGGAATTCCATAGATGATTTAGAATTAAATTAAAAGCTTATCATTCACAAAGTTCTGTCCCTTGCTCCTTATGTGTTTCTTGTGTTTTGGCCTAATTAGATTTTCCTTTACCTATAAGATGTTGAACTCTCTGCATGACAAAAAAATGCACAATGTTTAACAGAATTTTTTTGTTCCACAATTAGTTTCTTACGAAGCTCCTACAGGGATATGGCGAAGGAAGAAAATATGAGATGGGAGGAAAAATTAATTTTCAATGCTTTTGAGTTTACTTGCAAATGTTTTGTGCTCCCCTGAGTTTTGCGTACAAATGCAGTTTCTTAGGGGGGCTCAAAAGTTTTGCGAGCGAACGCAAAAGCATCGACATGTATTTTTTCCCTTTAGTGGCTCAGAGTTTCTTCCTCAAAGTAAAAAAAAAAATATTTGTGAAATAAACAAAAATATTATAGGTAAAATAATCCTGTCGTTAGCAATCCTATACCATTTTTACACAAAAAAAGGAGGGGAACAGGCGTTCTTTTTTTTTTTCTTGTTATATGGTTTATAATGAATTTATTGACGAATACTAAGAAGGTTTTTGTCTAACTTTAAAAAAATGAATGACAAGGAATGTAGTAAATGACGTCCCGGATCACTAAAGACCCAATATATAAGCATTTAAAGGATAAAGTAACAATTACGAGAATTGTGAGATAGAAACTCACAAATGTAAGACTATTATTCTGGTCTTGTGTTCCCCATTGTGTTTAGGGATTTTTCTTGTTCCTATTGTTTCTGCTGTTTGGCTTTCTGTGATTAGTTCCTGTTTTTTTATTTTTATTTATTTTTTTTTTTTTTTCTACCACTCGCTTGTTTATTTCCATAGTTACCCTTGTTAGTTACCACTGCTACTCATTACCTACACCTGTTCATTGTATATTTATCCTGTGTTTCTTGTGTTCTTTGTCATGGTGTTGTTCTCAATGAATGTTTCATGGGTATTTGTTTTCTGTTTTTCTCCTGTGTCTGGAATATCCTGTTCCCCACATTAATTTCTTTGCAATATCCTGTTCTCTGCCTGGGTTTACTTTTGTTGTTTTGCTTAAATAAATATGTCTACTGCATTTGAATCCAACACTCCCTCGTAACTAAAGCAGTCACGTAACAGAGACATTAAATTGCCAACGCATTCTCACCCCAAGGCGTCACCTTTGACCATGCTTCAATATTTGACGTTTTAGGCACCCTTTAGCGTCACTTACATGACGCGATCCTACGGCGTCATCTAACTGACGCTAAAGGAAAGCGTCAGTTAGAGGACGCGGTTAGGTTTAGGTGTGGGGTGGGGGTAGGGTACACGCAATCCTAGGGCGTCATCTAACTGACGCTAAAGGGCGCCTAAAGCGTCAGATATTGAAGCATGTCCAAATGCTTCCCAAGTTAAGTGACGCCTTGGGGGTGAGAATGTGCTGAAATTGCAGTTACGCTAAAGACAGGAATAAAGGAAGAAAGTTGGAATTATGATATGTTGTCAGATATAAAGTGTTTTTTCCCCCTCTGAGGCAGATCTAGGCTTTCATGGAAAAATAAATAAATAAAAAGTGTAAATCACGCTAATTTACCACTGGAACTCTAATAGAAGTTCCACAAACTGTAAAATTACCAGACACCAAAAAGTAGCTGCATTCAAAACCTTTCATTTCAAAAAGTTTAGAAAAATCCAAAGCTTTTATTGTGAGTATGGGTGATTTCCAGCGTGAAGTTCATCTGTGTTGTGGAAAGTTTTTTAACTCTTTCCTTATTGGCAGGCTGCAAAGTGAAATGCTTCCCAACACACCCTCTCTCTCTCTCTCTCTCTCTCTCTCTCTCTCTCTCCCTTTCATAAATTTCATTAAGGGAGAAATCACATTACACTATTTTCTGGACCTGCTTCCAGGGGTTAACCACTTTGCTTAGCCATGTAAATTCTCAGCTTAGTCAGGGCCATTCTCCACAGCCTGGCTGCTTCGATGCAGCCTGTGCCGAATTAAGCGCTATCTATGTAAATTTGTGTGTGTGAAAGTGTGTGTGTCCTGAAGATGGACATGGGGTGTGTGGAATATGTAAACCCATTCTCCTGGATTACTGAATTTGTGTGTATGTGTGTGTTGGTCTCTTCTCCCTATATGCACATAGGATGAGCACGTTGTGTTAACCCTATCTGCTGGATTATCCGGATGGTGTGAGTGTGTGAGAGTGAGACAGAGTCGGGCACTTGAGGATGGAGAAAAGGAGGTTAAAGGGGAACTTATCGTCTTTGTGCAGAAGATAGACTTCCACAGGCTGGCCTCTCCTACTACCCCACAACAGTTGCTGAAGAACTTTACACTTTCTCAACACTACTCACCCACACTCACAAGCACACAATCCAACACACAAGAAAGTTTTTTGTTTTTTTTTTTTTTTTTTTTAGAGACATTGCCATTTTCAAAGCCCCATAAAATAAAATTGCATTTATGAGGCTTTTGATCCATGTGAGTCTATCCATAATACTATTGTTAAAATATAGTTTTAGCAGAAATGCAGTGTGAATCCTTCTCCTGGATCTCCATTTTGATTTATAATTCACCTCAACATCCTGTATCAAACTGAAATAAAACAGAAAAGAATACTACATGCATATTTATGCTTCTGTATAGCAAAGCAAAAGTGTTACACTTGTATAGTTCGTTTGTAGAAATATATTCCTTACATAAATAAAAATAAACCAATAAACCAAGAAATTCAATTACACAGCTGTATTTGTTTGAGCTGAATACAGTTCTGGATATTACTTATATGACTCATTTTGCTATACCCGATTAACCAGTAAATCCATAAAAATATTATTTGAATTATACGAATATTAATATTAAGAGTACATTATATTAAGAATTTCTACTTTACAATTCTTGCAGCCTCAAAGTGGTTTCCTGGTTGAACAGGTAACACTTTGCAATAAGGTCCCATTAGTTAACCCTATTATTTTTCAATGTTAGTTCGTCAACTAGTGTAGTTGAGCTAATGTCAGTGGAACCTTTATGTACATTGAAACCCACTAACAATAGGCATCCCAAACAATATAAATAAAACGCTGACATTTACCTGTGCAGTCTGCAAGAACTACAACAGACTTTTAATTGTTGTAATTTCTTCCTACAGTTCAAAGGTCAAGATGAAGATGCATGGCAGTGCATAAGCACCTCATGGAGTTCAGCGGCACGATTTATCTTCCTACTGGAGCGAATAGTCCCGAGGCCTCCAGAGTCTCACTGCTACACTCTCTATCTTTCTGTCCATCCATTTGTTTGCTTGCTCACTTGCCCTGCAGTCTATCATTGACACTGGTGAATGATAGCTCGCTTGTTTTGTCAATGGCACAGTTTGCTCTAAAACTGGAAGGTCAAACAAAGGTGATTGGGTCATGAAGGAAGGCAGCTTTCAGAGAGTTTAAAAAGATCCCTGTCTATTTTAATCTCTTGAGTGGACAGGGAACTACTCACATCTCAGATCATTTTCCTCCAGCCGGTATGTAGATGTGGAACTTGACCTGTTAGGGGACTGGTGGACCAGGGTAAAGTGTGCATGGCTGCCCCTGTTCTACCAGTAATCTATTTCTGAACCGGTTTGTCCTCTGCACTTGTTCAATCATTTCCTGATTGATTCTGATCTTGATCAATCCTTGGAAAGACAGATGGGCCCTGCCTGGGCCTCTTTAGTCTATACTCTGCCACCACACACACACACACACACACACACACACACACTACAGCCCCTGTCCCAAGCCCTGATCTATACTGTCGCTTCCTCTGTGGCTGAAGGCAAATGAGGCAAAGGGTCAAGGAGGCATTTATCGATGTAGCACTCCTGTTATTCACACACACACACACCTACTTCTCAGACGTTTCACCCTCTTGTAGTCACTTCCTGCACTTCAGTCAATGTCCTGACCTTAAAGACAAAAAGGATAAAACATTTAAAATTAATTAAAATAAAAAAATATAATTCTAACATAAATACTATGCAATATCAAGCAGTATGATGAGCAGTGTTTGTATTTTTTATTCACACATATATTTTCTCAATAGTTTTCTTTCTTCTTTTTTTTTTCATTGGCGCCACTTCGAGGAAAAAATATATTGCTGGACTGATTGAAATTTAGTGCTGTGTTGGCAGCAGTGTCTCTGGGTGAGCAGAATAAATCATTATAATGCAGGTTTATAATAGTAATAAAAATATAGAATCAAACCTGAGACAAGCCATTTGGCCAACAAGGACCCGTAAGAGAACAAACCATATCAATTAAATAAATCACTGATAAATTACTCATCTCTACATCGTCCATTAGTGATGGTGTGAAAGAGCGTGCATGCTGAAATATAGTGAACTTGAAACTATTATCTGTTCTTGCTTCTTTTATAATATGAAAACGAGAATGTCTAAATATAACAAACCAGCAGTTTGTGTCATAGATGATGGTTTACAAACTCTTGCATTTGTGAAGGTGGAAGGGTGACTACCAATGTGTGATTTTATGTCTGGAACAGGTGTGATCCAGCAACAGCTTTCTGTATACTTTCAGAGACTGTAAATCCCTTGATAGGAAAAAGAGGAGGGGGAGAGAGAGAGACATAAAGACTCTCCCCAGTCTCTCCACGGATGACAAGAGAAGTGGAAATCCCTTCCACTCAAACTAAGAACCGGATGAGAACCAGATCAGGAAGGACCACTGAAGACCAAAGCCTTGGGATTCAAACCAACAAACCCCCAGACCCAAAAAAAAGACCTGTCAATCACACTCAAAGCACTATAGAGATGATAGATGTGTGCGTGTTGTGTTGCAGTGATAGGGAAGTCTAGAGATGGCTTTGGAGAAGGCATGATATGAAATAATGGGAGTAATGGATGGGTTACCCCTTCTAAAAGAGAGAGAAATAAACTGTGTAAGGGGGAGAGAGGGATCTGTATGAAAGAGGAAAAGTTGAAAGCTTGTTTGTTAAACTCAATTCCAATCCATCAATCAATAATGTTGTGGGAGGTTACTCAGAGGCCCACAAACCAGAGTTGGACATATTATCAGTACTACTCAACGCCTTAGTGACAATACACTGTGTGTTTGTCACACAAATTGCTGTGTGTAGATAGAAGAGAGGATGAATAAATTATAAGGCCAGAAATCACACAGTGTGTTAAGCAAACCAGATGAAGGGAAAGAAAGAGCGAGCCAAGAAGAGAGATTTGATTAAAAACCTGAATAAAACCAAGGATTATTTATTTATTTATTTATTGTCTAAACTTACAGTAGTTTGTGTATCGGAATTATTGAAGTTGTTACAAAGACTGTATTTCAGTGTCTGTAAGATTTTGAGTTAAAATACCAATTACAGAAATGCATATTTTGCGTGAATACTAAAATTGTAGAGTAAACAACAACAAACTGGAAATTAATACAGACACACAGACATACATACTGTACATACAGACATACACACACAGACACAGACAAACAGACTCTATCATTTGTCGTTTCCTAGAGTTTTCAAGCCCATGTCACTTTATTCTTTATTCTCTTTTTTAATCACATAATCAGAAGTGTAAATTAATGTAAAAATGTAATTGTAAGTTTCAAAATCTTGTAACTTTGGCAAATTACACTATCACACTGCTCACTATGCAAACAAAAAGAAAGAAAAAAAACATTTAGTTGCTAGTAAGTTAAATATTTAGAAAATTAAATGTTTAGCTGATTACAAATATTTTATTTCCTTTCTTTCTCCTAATTTCCATTCCCTAGGTGGCAGTTAGTCCATTTCTCATGTGTTGACATGCAATATCCAGAGGCTTTAGAGAGCTCTGAAATGCCACTAGTGGGTTCCCACTTACCACAATGAAAAATTAATCGGTCAGGCGGGGCACTTCTCTTATGTATGTGTGTTTTTGCTTCCTTTTTTTCAATAAAAGTTTCCTGTGATATTTGTTTCTCTTGCGGGATATGTGTCATGTGCTATGTTCAAATCCATAGTCCATGTGAGTATGAAATCTGTAGCATCAGCAATTTAAGTAGACTAATTTTTAACGTCATGGGTAGTAACATCATGAGATCTCATTAATATCAGACACAGCTAGTGAGCTAAAGGACACAACCTGTCAGAACTCAACTCAACTGTCCTCCGCTTCTGACAGGCCGTGAATGTTTAGGCCAGGGCAACCACTTTGGGCCATTAGACTGCTATCACAAGCACTTGGGTGGGGATGACCTGCAAGAATGTTCTGGACACGATGTTCCCTTGAGATTTGCCACTCTTGCACTTTTTTCATTAGCGTTTTCCTCCATTTTCAACTACAGTTCACATTTATACTGGTTACGTTTGGGACAAATCTAAAAGGGTGGATTTTCAAGGACAAGGAGCAGAGGGTGGATCTGGAATATAGCTTCTTTACATATGAATGACACAGTCTTGTATGCACATTAAGCTACACACTTCCACAACGTGTTTACATGCACCTTACACCGACATGTATAATGTACCGACATTCTGCTCTCTCTTTTTCCTCTCATTTGCTCATACATAAATGCACACCCCTATTCCATGGCATTCCTGGCCCCCCTCAAACGTCACTGAGGTCCCGCTTGAATGGCACTTCCTTCATCAGAAAAGACGGGTGCAGCCTATTGAAATACTTACTATCAATTATTTAACCTCACTCTCTCCTTCTCTTCAATAACCAGGTTGGCTTTGACTTTGATGGCCATTGCGTCCAAGTCGAGGGCCACCTCGCTTAACGTCACCCCTCCTTCCCCTTTCTGTTCCACATTTTCATTCACCCATCTCGCTGCCACTCTACTGCAAAAAAAAAGGCACGCTGTCAAATGCTAAAAAACATAGCAAGTGGTCAAAGTCCAGAACGTCTTACTTCATGTCCTCATCTACACTCGTAGCGGTCATGAATTTTCCACAGAGATTTTCCAAGACCTTGTGTTACCTCGTTGTGATGTTGTACCCTTTCAAAACATGAGGACAAAATTAAAACCTTTTTGTTAAACTGGAGTAAAAAATATGAGGAAAAACACAACTTTTAGTCAAAAATTTTAATCAAATACATTCTCATGACTATTCAATTCTTCAAAACTTACAAGTAATAAACAAAAGGTTTATTAACTAAAACTATACAAAGCAATTATAGATATATTTGTTGCTTAAAATAAAAAAAAACATTTTAACTTTAGAATTTAAAATACTTAAACTTATTTTATTTAAGCCTATTTCTCATTTTCATTTACTTGATGCATATCTCAACTAGAAACTCAAACTAAAATTGAAATAAAAAACTATAGAGGCATTTAAAATAGCATAACTAGTGAAAATGAAATGACAAAAACACAACAAAATTACCCAAAAATTATAATTTAAACAAAAATGGAAAAATAACAATAGTTACTAATTTATAAAAAAAAAAAAAAAAACAGTTGTGTAGACACATTGAAAAAGAAAAGAAATAAAACCTACATTCAAAATATTATAACTCTGAAACTCTTTGCAAAAGTGCTACAACTGTTTGGTGAATTTTCCCCAATGTGTTTTGAGCCACTTTATACAATTTACACACACACACGCGCACTCAGGCTTATAGAAATCCAGGAGAGCAGCATGATAGCCCCTACTGGTTAATAATGTCACCAGCTGATCCTGTCCTGTGTCCACTATAGTCTAGCTCAAATCCCTCTCTCTCTGTGTGTGTGTGTGTGTGTGCACCATAATAAGTCTAGTAGCTCATTCTCTGAACAGTACATTCGAGACGCAATATGGGACGTGATGCAAGAACCTAGCTGAGAAACAGAACAAATGAAAATGTATCAATAAAACAGGAAAAACAGAATCATTCATTAGAGCCAACTTCCAACAGAAAGTCTTGTCAGTGACTCCACACAGCTTTCCCTCTGTCCCAGACATGCTTAAAATCCTTTTAGCAAGCCAAGACAGCATGCTCTTGTTATTTGGATATAATCCTCTGCTTCTACAGGCATGTTTGTGTGTGTTTAGAAGCATGATGGAGGGGAAGACCTCAAAGCTTAATCCTGTGATGTACATATTTCCTCCTGAAGGTTTTTAGGCCCATGAGCGGCAACTGAGAAATCATGTGAAATTTGAATTTCAGGACATCTAAAAAGATTTATTCGGGTGTGCTTTAAACCTCAGAAAAACCTTATTTTAAAGTCCTATTATGCATTCAGATGTGGGAATCAAAATAAAATACTACAAAACATGACTCTCTCACTCTCTCTCTGTGTGTGTGTGTGTATGTGTGAGTGTGTTCAATGAGACATTTTAATGGGTGTTTTGTCTGTAAATACATGGCACGATAGATAAACAGATATGATAAACATTTTATGTTTTCTTTTCATCCTTTATTTTTTACTACACTCTAAAAAATGCTGGGTTGTTTCAACCCAAATTTGGGTCAAATATGGACAAACCCATTAAAAATGTAAAAAAAAAAAAAAAAAAAATGTACAGTTGAAAGTTTTTTTTAACCCAACATTTGGGTTTGTCCATATTTGACTCAAATTAGGGTCTCAAACAACCCAGCATTGTTTAGAGTGTTCTTTATATTTATTTTACGCAACAATTTTCATAAAAATCCATCATAAAAATGTTTGAAACTATCTAAACAAATAGTCAAATAATCATGCACTTCAATATCTCTTCTTTTTTTATAGATAATTTCCACCACAAAGAACAATTAACTACACTACGGGTCAATCGTTTAGAGTTCAATATGATTTTGTTGTTGTTGTTTTGAAAGACGCATTAACTAATCAAAAATGACAGTAAATAGAACATTACAAACGATTTATATTAAATAAATGCTGTTCACCCAAGAATCCTGAAGAAAAAAATGCTTCACAGTTTTCACAAAAATATATATATATATATATATTGAGCGGCGCAATTGTTTTCAATAGATTTTTCTTGAGAACCAAATCAGAATATTAGAATGATTTCTGAAGGCTCATGTGACTCTGAAGACTGGAGTAATGATGCTGAAAATTATTCATTAAACTTCTGAACTTTGTGTAATAAATAATAAATAAATAGAAGATAATAGAATATAATTGTTTTTTAAGAGTTAGTGTGAGAAAAACAGGACTATTGTCCTCTAGTGATGTATATACTGCGCACTTTATGTAAACGAGTGTAAATTTCCACAGGGCCAAAAGTGCCCAACAGTAAATTGCTCTTCGAGAGACAGTGTGTGAGATTTTATACCCGTTGGTAATAATCTCAAACTGTGTGCAGCAACTAGTTCTCCTTCAATCTGAGTGTGTGAGTGGCAAGAGGATCAGAAGGGGCTAATGTAGAGGGACAGCGATGGCATTCCGAGTCTGCCCGGTGTCAGAGAGAATTAGCCCACAGACACACAAACACTCTGACATGAACACACACTCACAGAGCCAATACATGCTCACTCGGCCACGCGCAAATGAGCCTGTCACTCCACGCAGGTCAAAGGTCAAGAGGAATTCTCTCCACTTCTTCCTCTCCCTCATCATCCCCTGCAGTAGGATTTATTTCTCTTTCATCACACTATGCTTCAATGCACCATCATTAAACACGTTTTATCTCCCTGAGGTGACATTGAGCATACCTTAATTCTTACAGCGTTCCAATGTGATTGGTTATACGCATATGTTCTTTGTGCATGCCTGAATTCTTTTCATAATCACCTGACCCCAGATAATCTGTCATAAACAGCTGACCAAAGTTGTTGTTCAATCCAGTCAGCCAGTGCTCATAGTGCCTAATGGGCGACTTGAAGAGTTTGACGAAGAGGATGTGGAGTCAGATCTCCAAGTTAGTTTGTCTCAGGCCTCATTGGACATCTCAGCGTTTTGTTTCTCTAGTCAGCAGGTCCGACTTGATGGGTTGAGTTTGTAGAGCTGTTGTTTTTAATTTTGCCTTCGTTAGGCCTTGTGTTAATTACTAATCTCATGGTCCACAGCCGTGCGCTTGGTCTCCTCTCTCTAATGAGACGGAAATGAGACAAACAGCTGGGATTTATGGCTCGCTGGATGCTCACGCCATGAGAAAACTCTTGTACGTGCAGGACAGAAAAACAAACAATCCCATATATATACGAATCGCACATCGTGATTAACTATGCACAAATAGACATTAACGTGATACGACTGTCTGTATGCAAATTAAAAAAACGCACAATCCAAATTATTTGTGTGAAAGAAACCTAAGCAGATTAATACACAGCTGCATGAAGACACACAAGAGTGCTTACAGAGCAAAACCCACCCAAGGGCCTGGCAGACGCACCCTCAGCCATCATCGAACAGGAGTCCTCCTCTCGTTTCGGCCCCCTCCCTCACTCACTCTTTCTATCAGCCTCAGGGGAACTCCACAATTAATGACCATGCTGATGACCGTCTCAGAGGGTGTGTGTGCGAAGGGGGTTGGGGTGCGGTCAAATGGTGTGTGTGTGCGTGTATGTGAGTGTGAATCGCTGAGGGAGGCAGCTCATGGCTCAGGTGATCGGGAGGCATGTCTCGGTGGGCAAAGACCCGACGCAGCGCTTTCAGCCCCGTGCTTCAGCACAAAGGGAGCTGTGTTGGCCTTCGCCATCAGCAGCTTTAACTGCAGCTCCAGACCCACAAACCTGCCCGGCACCGTGGACCTCTCCTGCGGCCTGTATGCTGGACCAGGGCACCGCAAACAACATGGCAACACTGTTTTTGCCTGGTAATTATCAGCTCTGGCACATCAGCATTTAAACCTGGTAGTAACATCTCCTATGTGTCTCATGTGACTACTGAGGATATAATGAAATAATATAATATAATTAATATTATATAATTAATATGTAAGCATTAAGGTACGAGAGGCTGTGCTGTATCGTGAATAAGTAATGGCTGAAGGGTGTTGTTAGGCTCGACGCGAAGTGCCTGCAACCCCTTCAGCCGTAACTTATTCACGATACAGCACTTGCCCCGAGTACCTTATTGCTTTTAGAAAATGGTTACCACACAATAAAATATATTAAGGTAAAAAAAAATTATTAGTGCAACTTTCATGAAGTAAAATCAGTAAAAGCCTACCTTCCGCTAGAAATAATAGTCCCTGACCATGGACAGAAACAATGTTCCAAAGTTCTATATGCATGAAAGCTCAAATAAAAACAAAATGGGAACTGCAGTGTTGCACAGTGATAAATAGAACCGTTGGGTGAAGCGGCCATAGCCGTGTTTTAGCGTGAATAAAGCACAGCTATTGACCAATCAGAATCAAGGATTGGAACAAACCGTTTTTTTTTTTTATATATAATATAATATAATATAATATAATGATCAGAGACTGCAGTGGAGTACCTGCATTTGCTTTGCTTAGATTTGCTTTTAGTGTCGTTTAGTTTAGTTTTGTTACATGCCTGTCCTGTCTTGTGCTGCACATGGGTATTTTGTTATTTTGGGCCATGTGCCCTTGTCATTGTCTGATCCCTCCCCCTCGTTACATGATCATTGTTTTAGTTCTTCCACCTGTCCCCTCTTGATTAGTTGCCTTCTGTTCCTGAGCCGGCGCTACCGCCCAGACCCCGAGGGGTCTTCACCGCTCTAGCCCGATGGACTGTCTGCTTCGCCCTGGCCGCCCGAGGGGTCTTCACCGCCCTGGCCGCCCGATGGACTGTCTGTTTCGCCCTGGCCACCCGATGGACTGTCTGCTTCGCCCTGGCCGCCCGAAGGGTCTTCACCGCCCTGGCCGCCCAATGGACTGTCTGTTTCGCCCTGGCCGCCCGATGGACTGTCTGCTTCGCCCTGGCCGCCCGATGGACTGTCTGCTTCGCCCTGGCTGCCCAATGGACTGTCTGCTTCGCCCTGGCCTCCCGATGGACTGTCTGCTTTACCCTGGCCGCCCGAGGGGTCTTCACCACCCTGGCCGCCCACTGGACTGTCTGTTTCGCCCTGGCCGCCTGATGGACTGTCTGCTTCGCCCTGGCTGCGAAGCATATTTATTTTATATATTTCTGCGTGCCATCTGAAACAAATGCTAATACCAGGTACACAAGGACTCACAGACTGCACCAATACTTCAAAGCAGCAGCCAGCCATGCAGATTTGCTTGCACCAGCACCACGGACAGCACCTGTATGCATAACCTCTGCTTAAAATCATAAACTGCACTGTGTCTGCCTGGAATCATTGACCTGTCCATCAGTCACTCTGTAGAAGTGTTGCTCCTCTGAAGCAGGAAGCTGTGTCTTTCAATCCTAGGGGGTTTGTTGATTGTAGTATGATGGGAAGAAAGACCATCAACACAGTTCAAACAAACTGCTTGCATCTAATTGGCCTTGGGCCTCCTGGTTTGTCTTTGTCTTTACGGTCCTCTCTTAAGACAAGTCAAAGAGATCTCCTCACTTTTATCAGGTGTTATCAAAGAATTCATGGACTTCAGCACTTTACGCCTTTGATTACATGAGAATAAGTGTGTGTGCTTGTTTGTTTCCCCTCCTACAGTGTGATGAGTGGATGTGTATTCAGCTAAATAACCTTGCTGACACAAGGTCTGTTCAGAGAGAGTGAAATGCATTCAGAAGAGGCTACCACAGACCACAGTTAACGAGACAGGTGTACTCGGAGGATTGATTGAGTTTAAAATATTACCACCTTACCAAGTCCTGATCCATACCCCTCAATCCAACCCACTCTACCCATTAGCAGCTACAGTGTTTCTTGCCAAACAGAATATGTTAGAAAACCAACATCAAAATACCTGACGACTACATTAATTATTACAAACGGAAGTTTCTTGAATACTCACATTTCCTCATAACGCTGATCCTAAGTGTCACTCCGGCAGTCGTTTGGACGCGCACAGAGTTAATTTTTCAGTGAATCTCTGAGGTGCTCCTGGGCTTCTTGTCCTCTGGCTGTTTCTACAGAGATGACAAGAAGTGACAAACAGACAAAAAGAGAGGAGTTAAGAGTCAAATATATAGTATAATATAATGTAATATTTATTATTATTATGTTAAGAAAGGATGCATTGAATTGATCAAAAATGACATAAAGGACTTCTCTTCAAAATACATATTCTTTTGAAAATTCTTTTCATCAAGGAATCATGAAAAAAGTCTCAGTCTCCACACATATATTAAGCTGCACAACTGTTTTCTAGTTTTCAAACTTGATAATAAGACGAAATGTTTCTTGTGCAGCATATTAGAATGACTTCTGAATGCTGATGCAGAAAATTCAGCTTTGCCATAAAATGAATAAATTACATATATATAATATAAATATATAAATTACATACATACATATATATATATATATATATATATATATATTGTTAAAACTAGCATTTAAGTATATAGTTATTCATAACTAAGCCATTTTTAATTTAATCACTTTTAAATAGTTTTGCCATCTCAAAACGTCTTAAGTATTTTAAAAGAACATATTCTGCTTTCCTAAACAAATCTCCACACTATACAAAATATTGTTGGTTTAACTTAAAAAATTAAGAAACCTGGTTGTCTTAAAATTTTAAGTTGATTGAACTGGAAAAAGTGAGTTAATACAAAGAAGGAGATTGATTTAATCATCAGAAACTCAAAATAATAAGTTATTTGAACTAAATAAATTCTTTAAGTTGATTTGACAAAAGAAAAAATGTTGTGATAACAAATCTTGAAAATATATATATATATATATATATATATATATATATATATATTTTTTTTTACAGTAAAGTGAGCTAACTCTGCACATCCTTTGCAACAAATCCACCCCAGTGCATACAAACAGGCTGTGGTAGTGTTTGTTCTACTTGTTTAGGGGAAAATCAAATTCAGGCTGCATTTAGCCCATGCATTGTACCCTATGTGTGGAGAAAAGAAATTAAGAACAGAAAAATCTTATTTTAGGGAGCCCTTTCCTCTCCCCGGTCTCTTCAGTCTACAGAGATGAATGAAATATTTGGCCTCGGACTCATAAAGTGGCTTATATATTCATTTCTATACTGACATGATTTACGAACTTCTATCGGCACTGATATATTGAGGGTTCTTTTTCACCTCACGACTGCTATGGCTGATGACACTGTGATGCTTTCACTGACCTTCACTGTGAGGGGAAAAAAACTTTAGAAAAATGGAAACTATACCGGTAATTTTCTGTAAGGACATTATCCGTTAAGTTTACAGACATTTACTTAACATAATGCAGGGAATAATTCAAAATAAGGGTCTAACACACCTGTGAAAAATCAATAGAGCAAATTCCACACAATACATTGTGTTCTGTTTTTTTGCAGACTTTTCTTCTTGTCTCACTCCATCACACATAAAAAAGCTAAATATATAAACAATAATGTAATGCAGTGACTTTTGCAAATACACTTCAAGAGCTTTCAAAAGATACTAAATAGACAGATTGACTGGTGTCAGGAGTTTCAGACAAAAATATCTGGCATCTCTGAAACTAATTCACATCCTGTATTTCCAAAAGTGACTTAATCAAATGCCATATTCTCTTAAAGTGGTCCTATTATGCACTTTTACGAAGTCTTGATGTTGTTTTTGGGGTGTACTCGAATTGTTTTCATGCTTGATTGTTAAAAAAAAACAAAACATTTTTCAAACATTTTACATTATTACAGCTGTAGAAAACTAGCTCTATGAAATATTAATAATCAATCGTAACTTGTCATACCAGTAATTGATAATACATATTTGGATCAGTTAATATGGTTAACTTGATGTAGCTAAATTAACATTACAACCAATTACTCTGTTCATCCCGTAAACACTCAATATTGGTTATTAATTCATTCATAGAAATGTAGATTTCTGGGGCATGGAGAATGTCTTTCTTATTAAGTACTACTAAGAGCAAGTAGTCAAGATCAGTGTTGTGCAAGTTACTTCCAAACTGTAATACATTAGGTATTACTCGTTACTGTTATTTAAAAGTAATTCATTACCTTACAATATTACTGTCTCAGAATTGTAATGCGTTACATTACTCATGTATTACTTTTGAGTTACTTTCACCAAAATAACTAAGTAGTACTTATACTTTGGGGCTGTAACGATATGCAATATGAAACTGAAATCGTGATTCACCACACAACTCAGATCCACGAACCTACAGAATCGCGACACACCTCTTCCAACTCCCAGCGTTATTCTCCTTACCGTCCAGATCCAATGCTGCCTTATCTTTAAATTAGGCTATTAGTATTATTTGAAGTTAACATTATAAAATACGTAGACCTACACCACAAAACTAGTTGAGGATAAATTATTTAAAATTCCAGCATTATGAACGTGACATTTGCAGTCAAAACTTGAAATAAAAATTCTCAGAAATACATGTATTGAAACGTATATAGGCTATTTCCTTAAAGGACAGACATTAGACAATAGACAAATATCAGTCTATGTTTTATTTTTAATATTAGGGAAAAGACACACATTAATGCGTGACAAAAAAAAAATAGGAGGCAAAATATATTTTTTGTAATTCTGTTAATTACACTGCGCAAATCGGATGAGGAGGGGTTGGCATTTTAGTTTTCGTGTTCGCATTTATGAGGAAAAAACAATGTTACAGACGCGACCGCTCTGAACTGGCACAAAAAGACTGCTTTAAAACTTTCACATAGTCTGTTGCCTTTAAGAAGTAAAATACACTGTAATACAACTGTAATATAAGTCTGACTGAACATGTAACGAGTAAAATATTACTGAAAATTGATTAGTAATGCCTTACACTACTGCGTTACACCAAAAAGTAATACTTAAGGATACTTAAAGGGATATTTCACTTTGAAATTAATTTTGGTATGTTTTAGCTCACCTTAATGGCATCCAAGATATGGGTGTCTTTGTTTCTGCAGTAGTTTCAATTTTGATATTTCTAGGTCAAACCGCTCGTGTCTGTCAGTCATATAATGGAGGTCTATGGTCACCACCTCAAAGAGCATGCACAGAGAAGTCCAAATTAAACATGATTGAATGACTCGTAAATGTAAGTAAGTACAAATTGATGGCCTAAGACACGAAACGAGCGGTTTGTGTGAGAAAATGAACAGTATTTATATAGTTTTTACCTCTTTTTACCACAGCCACAATGCTAAAAATCAATGTTAAATGTTAAAAATCGATTAACCCCACTAAGTTCGTCAAGCTTATGACAAACCTTATGACGTCAGCCGGGGTGGAAAAAAACAGCGACAACACTCAACAGCGCAGCTCAAAGGGCCTCTAATATTTTTGCGTATTCCGTGGGCGGGGATTATTTAAATGAGGTACACGTGACTTCATAAGATCCGAGAAACGTGTTGTAGTCCAAATGAGCCGTTCATTGTAGTTCTTAAAAGTGGATTCTGTTAAATAAAATCTCCCTTTGGAGTGGACTAATTAGTTGATAGTGAATACTGTCATTCATAGTTACAGGGATTGTGAACTTTCTATCATGGCTAATTATTGCTTATAAGCATGGTGAATGCTTGTGGATTGTTCTAAGTGTTACTATTTATATTAATGGACAACTATTCTTGCTGACAGGCACTTTTCTATCAAATGTTTTATGATGAGTTAAATGTGTTTACATATGCTCGCCTCAGGGGCATTATCTGACTGAGCAAATGGATTTTTGAGGACAAAGGTTGAATTGCTGCGTCAGCTTATGCCTGGTGGTTTGTATGGGGTGGAACAACGCATTGATTGATTTTTATGAAGTTAATTAACTTATTCATATAACAACATACCAGTACATTATACAAATATTGCCTATATAAATAAATGTATATTTACAAATTATTTAAATACTCTCGAAAATGAAAATATTATTACGTTCATCATACATCGTCATCATACATCCAATAGCACAACATTTGACCCTTTGACCCTGTGACATGATTTCCTCTGACCTTCCATTCACCTCAGTGAACAGACATAACACGGAGCACAAGATAGTTATGTCACAGTACCGGAGAACACGGCCAAGATTTCAATACACACAAAACCTACTTTACACATGTCAATTCAAGTTTATTATAACAAGAGAGTGAGAGCCAGGCAGAAAAAAAGAGGGTAGAAATGAAGGGCAGGTACAGAAAAGGAAGGAATAAATAATTCACAAAACGACCACTGTGATTCAGTCTCTTTCCATTTGATTCTATTAGCAGAGAGAGAGAGAGAGAGAAAGAGAGAAAGAAAGAGAGAAAGAAAGAAAGAAAGAAAGAAAGAAAGAAAGAAAGAAAGAAAGAGAGAAAGAGAGAAAGAGAGAGAGGGTTGTTAATGAATTGTACTCACAAGTGCACTAGGGACATGTTGTTGTGCTCATTATAGGAGGCAGGAAGGAAGTTAATTGCTCCATGGCTTTTGGTGAGTTAATACTCCAGTGCCTGATAAGTGAAAATGAACAATGTGAACAAAATGAACAATCAACTGCTCTGTCATACCGCCAAAACCAAAAAATGTGTTATCTCTTTTTAAAATAATTATAATGTCTTTGTATCATGCTAACTGATAATGCATGTATTATATACTGTAAAAATACAAAGTAATACTAAATAAATACAAAATAATCATTATGATATCCTGCTTTTTAGGACATTTACAGTTAAAGTTGACATGAAGCAACAGTCTCTCAAACGAGAAAAATGTAGGTTGACTTGATTGGACTGTTGTATTTTTGCTATTGCTATGATTTCATGTGAGTGGACAGGGTTGTCCCGCCCTCACACCAGTACACACATCATCAGAGAGAGAAGAGAGGTCACTGCAAGAGGAGGGGGGGTTATTTTGATTAAAGATTATGAGGAAGCATGAATAAAAAAAAAATGTCACTTTGGATTTCATGGTGGCTTTAATAATTCTTTTACTAATTATTAATGGGCATTCACATTATTTCCTCATTTCTTCTCACATCTAGTTGACACCTATTGCAAGTGTCCTAAACGTGAATACATGCCACAGGGGTTACATTCAACTCCAGAGGAGTGTGAAACATTGCCATGGTAACAGCACACCATCCCTGAATCTCTCGACCCCTAACAGGGTGTTCTAACAGAGCCCTACAACAAGGTTACACCTGCCGTCACACTTGAGGAGATGTATATGCATGCACATGTAGTTAATAGATTCTTAAGTATACTCCATGAATATTTCATGCTGTTTAGTTGTGTGACCTGCCCAATGACTGCAGAGGGATATACTGTATTCACTTTTTGGTTTTGCATGTAAAATAAACCTTTTGTCCCATACACTATATTTAATCCATGCAGTCATTCAGCATATATTAAAAAAAAAAACAACATACTGATACTGTTTAATCGTGAGTGAATGCAAAAATAAAATTACATTATTTATAATAGTAATAATTATTACATTATAGCTTATTATTATTGTTATATTAAATCATTATTTATATAGTAATGCACATAATAATAGTGGAATTAAGTCTATTAACATTGTTATAATTGTTTGTTTTGTACACGATATGAGGGTATATTACATACCAATTAAGCTTCACTCTCATTCTTCTATCACAAATCCACATGCCTAAATTGATGTGGAGTCCAGTCTTTTTCCCCGTAGCGGAAACATAATCATCAAATTTTAATAGACCTGATGCTTTAGGGAAACCGCTTGAAAGAGTAAATCACTGTCATTCTACATGTTCCTGTGTTTCCAAACAAGTATTCCTCTTAAAGATCGTCTGACATGGCCTTTTTAGAACTTTTTAGAACTTAATTTTAATTCATCCATACATCCATCTTCTTCTGCTTATCCGGGTCCGGGTCACGGGGGCAGCAGTCTAAGCAGAGATGCCCAGACTTCCCTCTCCCTACACACTTCCTCCATCTCTTCCGAGGGGACACTGAGGCATTCCCAGGCCAGCCGGGAGACATAGTCCCTCCAGCATGTCCTAGGTCTTCCCCGGGGTCTCCTCCCAGTGGGACGTGCCCGGAAACCTTCCCGGGAAGGCGTCCAGGAGGCATCCGGAACAGATGCCCAAGCCACGTCAGCTGACCCCTCTCGATGTGGAGGAGCAGCGGCTCCACACTGAGCTCCTTCCGAGTGACCGAGCTTCTCACCCTATCTCTAAGGGATCGCCCAGCCACCCTGCGGAGAAATCTCATTTCGGCCTCCTGTATCTGGGATCTTGTCCTTTCGGTCATGACCCAAAGCTCATGACCATAGGTGAGAGTATGAAAGTAGATTGACCGGTAAATTGAGAGCTTCACCTTGAGGGTCAACTCTTCCTTCAACAAAACAGATTGGCGCATCGACCACATTACTGCAGAAGCTGCACCGATCCATCTGTCGATCTCCTGTTCCATCCTTCCCTCACTCGTGACCAAACCCCAAGATACTTAAACTCCTCCACTTGAGGCAGGATCTCTTCACCAACCTGAAGTGGGCAAGCCACCCTTTTCCGACTGAGGACCATGGCCTCGGATTTGGAGGTGCTGATTCTCATCCCAGTCGCTTCACACAAACCTTCCCAGTGCATGCTGAAGGTCCTGGTCTGAAGGGCCCAACACGGCAATATAATCCGCAAAGAGCAGAGACGAAATTGTGTGGTCCCAAACCTGACACACTCAAGCCCCTGGCTGTGCCAAGAAATTATGTCCATAAATATTATGAACAGAACCAGCAACAAAGGGCAGCCCTGCCGGAGTCCAACATGCACCAGGAAGAAGTCAGACTTACTGCCGGCAGTGTGAACCAAGCTCCTGCTTTTGTCAAACAGGGACCGGACAGCCCCTAGCAAAGGACCCCGGACCCCATACTCCCGGAGCACCCTCCACAGGCCGCCATGAGGGACACAGTCGAATGCCTTCTCCAAATCCACAAATGAGCTTTCATCCACTTTCAACTCCCATGAACCCTCCGGCACTCAGTAGAGGGTATAGAGCTAGTCCAGTGTTCCACGGCCTGGACGAAAACTGCACTTGTTCCTCCTGAATCCGAGGTTCCACTATCGCCCATTTTCTCCTCTCCAGTACCCTGGCATAGACTTTCCGAGGGAGGCTGAGAAGTGTGATCCCCCTGTAGTTGGAACACACCCTCCGGTCCCCCTTCTTAAAAAGAGGGACCACCACCCCGGTCTGCTATCCCAGAGGCACTGTCCCTGAACAATTTCAATTCCTAATACTACAATGCCATCATAGAGATCAACCAGATCAAATGATATCCTCCTGGGAGCCAGATTGATTGATTGATTGATTGATTGATTGATTGATTGATTGATTGATTGATTGATTGATTTTGTATTTATATTATTAAAAACACGTATTCATTTTTTATTGATTATAATATATTAAAACATTTGTTTACAATCATTGAATCATACAATCATTTTGGTTTGAACTCTGAATTTGCTATACAGAGATATATGAAATATGCAACCATTGAAAAGTTTTGGTTCAGTAAGATTTTTTAATGAAAGAAATTAACATTTGTATTTGGCAAGGGTGCATCAAATTGATCAAAAGTGACAGTAAAGATGTTTATAAGATTTAAAAAAAAAGTCTATTTCAAATAAATGCTATTATTTTGAACTTTCGGTTTTGAGTAATGTAGCTACTTCAAACCAATCCATTTTAGACTTGTATCGGGCACAAGAGTAATTTATCCTGCTGGTATAATAGCAACAGCGCCCAAGATACACCCACAAAGTTACTTGCGTTTGGCATTTGATACTTGCTTTTCAGATCGTTAAAATAGAGCCTTAATAATATTTCAAAACATTGCTGTTTTATTGTACTTAAAAAAAAAAAACGTAATGACCCAAACTTTTGAACAGTAGTGTAATATGTAGCCTATATTTATATAAATATGTAATTGTCTAATCAGTGTTAAGTCTTCTTGCCAATACATCTTATTAGTAGCAACAGTAAAATTAAATTGAACAAACTGAACAAGTGTATACGACAACCGTGTTGTTGATATTTGTTGTTTCTAGGCAACATGATGTTCATGAAACTGTGTCCATCTGTTCCAACTTCAATGGCACAGCTGGTCTTCCACCTCTCTCACTTTCTCACAGTGACAACATAGTACTCACTTCCTGGTGACGGTTGGCACGCATGTCTTAGTGATACACAACAGGTCTCACTTGCCACGCTTTACCTGCAAGCTCGCAAAATCACGCACTTGTACGCAGACAAATAATTTCAATGTATGCTTTCTCATCAGTGAATACTAAACAGCACATCTCATTGTGTTGAGGCTGTGGTTTACCAGATCATTCATTGTACGGGACAGGTGTCAGGGTAGAACAAGGACAATATTGGTCCACTGTGTGGTGGGCATCTGTTATCCAGACCACCATTCTACTGTCTTTATCTATCCATTATTTCCTCCCTCCCAGCCATCCATCATCCATAGCATGCAGCATTTAAATGTGTTGTTGTTTTCTATTAAACTATCAATGACTAATCATCTGATTACTTCTTTAGCTTCCTCTGCTTTCACTGCTTTGAATATGCATAATTTAGATCACATGAAAACATATGCAGTCTGATTTTTAGGGGAAATATCTTTTAAAACTACACTAAAATTCACATTTTCTATTGGTATCTATTGTTCTGACAGGCTAAAGTCTCAATGTTCCACAGGGACACTGAAGATTTATCTGACTCATCAGAGTCGCTCGGTTCCCCATCTTCAGGCGTGGGATACATCGGGTCCAAGGGAATTTCCCCAGACAGGTTTGATGAATATCTGTATTCCCCCTCAAATTGTAGACTGGGAGTTTCTCCAAAGTGTGTCTCTTCGGGCAGAAATACAAGAGGTGTACTCAAGAACACCGTGACACTTCTATGACTTTGTTTTCCCCTCCTATTTGGCTTGGCTAATTTTTTCCCCCTTGCTGCCGCATGCTTCAGTTCTAGACTTTCTTCTGTACACCAAATGATATATAAAGTTCCTAAGAAATACACAGTAAACCTTTTTATGCCCTATATTCACTTTTTTACCCCCTGCAATTTAAAGATGAAAACTTAAAAAGACTTCAGATATAACTTGAACTCAAAATTAAGTAGAAAAAAAAAAAAAAAAACCTAAAAACCTGACCAACAGCAACAGTATTTAGGTCTACAAGGAAAAATATTTTTCCGTGCTTAGCCTGTTTGTGAAAATTATGACAAGTTTTAAGTACCATTTTTTCTTGATAAGTATTATTAGACAATACTGACAGTGGAAATTCCTCAAAATAACTGAATAAAACAAGGAAATTTTAAATAATGCATAATAAAATTAACTATAAAGAAAAGGGATTTGACATGTACCTGTGACAAAAGGTGAAGACTTGAACTTGAGCTGAGTTGAGTTGAGTTGGACTCTGTATAAAAGACTTGAACATGCCTGAAACCTACAACACAAAAATGAAAAATTGTTTGTACAATTGTATTCTATTTTTTGTTGTTTTTGCTAGACCAACCAGCCCGTTCTCATCCCAAGGCGTCATATACTGACGCTTTTGCCAATGCGTATACATCCAAGGCACATGGCACCCTTTAGCGTCAATATGAGACAAAGATATACATGGGCCAGAAGGCGCCTCCTAGTGGTCTAACCCTAACCCTACCCCAGACCTAAACCTACCCATAACCGAAGCATTGACACTAAAGGGTGCCATGTGCGTTGGATGTATACACATTGGCAAAAGCATCAGTATATGACGCCATGGAATGAGAATGCGTTGGACTAACATATGAAGTCAAATTCCATCTGTTAAGTCACTTGGTCCTGTCGTAGAACCACACACAATCCCTTACATTTCTCTCTGCTATAATACTGCTTCCAAAATGTTTGTGACAAATTTGATAAAGCACTGTTTCAAGAGATTCAATTTGCCCAGTATCATAAAGTTCAATCATTATCAAGTATGTCAAGTAACAAAATCTTAGATAACACAACAGCAAGAATTTGATTATACAAATGATGGTGCAGGGGTTAGCTAATAATGTATGTGACATGTTGTGTGAGAGCTCTTGCAATTGCTTGACATCCGCCCTTAAATGTTAATAAAGGTGTCATGCATATTTCAGTGATATAAACAGAAGCAGGTGAGGCAGGGCTCAAGAGTGATTTATTTATAAGGGCCTATCTTGTAAGGGTGGGGTTTACAGGGGGCCGTCCTGTTTGTATTTGCACATGTGTGTGTTTGTGTTTCCTTGGGTGCAAGTGGCACTGTGTTGGTGTCTATGTCTGACTTCAATTGGCTCCCGGAGGCATGCTAAGGGCGCACAACACTCACAGCTCCACAGTTTACTCAAACACCCAATCACACAACATAAACAGTGGCACTACCGAGGCGAGCTTGTGTGTGTATGCGTGATTCCTCGGGGAACGTGAGATTTGATAAGAAAATAGGTAATTTTCTCTTTCAGAGAAGGCAACAAAAGACATGTTTCATTGAAAAAAGAGCCCCACAATCCCACAAGAGCAGCAAGTCATTCTGCATCATACACAAGGGAACTGAGTAATGATAGTTTGCATGCTTTACATGCTCTGCCATGTTGCCATGAATATGTTCGCTCATTTGAAATGACCTCAGACAAGACAGGTAGGTAAATTGTCTGCCCCAATGGATAAGAAATCAATTGTAAAACGAAAAGACAAGTTCACTTACCTGACAGCTTCTGAAATGCTTGACTTTCAGACCAAAAGGGGGATAGAGAGAACAACAAGACATAAAACAAGAGGAAAATTTAGGATTTATGAAAGAAACACAACTATGGATGAGCATGGAGGAGTTCTTGTGCGGAAGATCCATTTGTTAATGGTTTAAATTAGGGTCACCACAACAGGAAATCGCAGATGACGGAGGTGTCATAATTCATCATAGCCGCGCTCAGTAATGCAGTGTAGGAATAGGATATGCAGGAAAGTCAGCCTTTCTTCCACCATGACCTCATACTGCCAATGCGTCTCACCACAAGACGTACTCTCCGCCATTTAGACCAGAGAGATGATTTGTCAGTCTTTCTCATACACTCGTACCAGCAGCTGGTGCTAATACACCTCTTTCTGTCACTATGTGCCAGTTTCTTGTCATTTGTGCGACTATTCTTACCACAATTTCTGTTTTCTTTCCCCCTCCATTTACAACCGTTCTGTTAGAGTCAAGCTGAGTGTGCAGTCTAGCAGAAAACTTTCTGCTCTGTTTTTGCTCTCTTCTGTATTATTAGGACCTATAAAGTGGAACAAGGGTAAACTGGGACATGAACTCGAGGCCTTTCAAATGAGAGGAGAGACTATACATTTTTTATACTAAACATTGTAATTGACTTGGATTTTCTTCCATTATACGCATCTTTTTAGCTTGTTAGAGGCACTTTGTTGTATTATGGAAAGTTTGGCGACAATATCCTGTAAATCTGCCAGTGGGTTCTTAAAAATAGATTGAAGGAGAGAGTGCCAACAACTTTCCACGGTTCATTAACAGCATTACTGGAACAAAAACAATTGAGGGTCTTAAAGAGACATAAACACAAGCGGATAATGCAGTGCATAACGTGTGGCACTTTGTCAGGGTTAGAGAGGACCCTCAGGGCTGCAGTATACAACAGAGACTGCCAATGTTAAGACAGGGTATCAATCCAAGAGCATGGATATCGGAGCATTGTCTGTCAGCAGATATCAAGTGCACTAAATCTAAGATTACCAAATTAAGAGGAGGCACTTAAGTGGGGTATCTACACACACACACACACACACACATAGACAATGATTTTATACTGTACCTACATTAACCATAAACCTGCCTAAGCAGAAAACTTTCTGCAGTTTTACATTTTCAAAAAACACACACACACACACACACACAGATATAAGTCTGAGACAGTGAAAATGCTTCTAAATGCTTCCTTTGAACTTTTGATTTAATGTATAAACACAACAATTTGATGTGGAGGATATTTAAAAAAAAAAATATTAATTCATTTTTCATTTTTAAAACATCCATTATTTTAAAGTTGTCATGAAACGGGAATTGCGATAGTTTTTTCTTCCCTAATGTGACGTAGAAAAAAGTGTACAACTTTTGGATGATTTGAAGTTTCTATTCACCAAAAAATCATGAGTTCAGCTGTTTTCAACATGTATAACAATCAGAAATATTTCTTGAGCAGCAAATCAATATATAAGAATGATTTCTGGAGGATCGTGTGACAATGATGACTGGAGTAATGATGCTGAAAATCCAGCATTGCAAAACAGAAATTCATTTTAAAATTCAAATAATAATATATAAAAATACACTATATATATATATATATATATATATATATATATATATATATATATTATATTTTCTCCTCAAAGGGATACTCCACTTTTTTTTTGTAAATAGGCTAATTTTACAACTCCCCCAGAATTAAACAGTTGAGAATCCATTCAGCCAATTTTCTGATATTTAGAAGAATATCAGTAACCAGACAGTTTCTGGTCTCTTTGACTTCCATAGTATATTTTTTTCTATGGAAGTCAATGAGACCAGAAACTGTCTGGTTGATATTCTTCTAAATCCGCTGAATGCTCAACTGTTTAACTCTGGGGGAGTTGTAAAATGAGTCTATTTCCAAAAAAAAAAAAAAAAAAAAAAAAAAACCTGGAGTATCCCTTTAATATGTATACCTTTATTCCAAGTTCATATTGTGAGGTGCCAAGAAAAAAAGAGGACAAAGCTATGTGTTCAAGAATTCACAAAGTATAGCGAGGTTTAGTTGCTCAGTCTTCACTTCAATATGGACTATAGTGTGAATGTAGTTTGAGATTGAGATACCTCTGGAAAGCAGCAGATAAAGGTGAAGTGAAGACATCTGCACTCTTTATCATGTGCCAACGGTGTGTTTCTGTCACACAAAATCTGCAGGAAAGTAATCTGACAAAACAGAGCACTCTTTACTGTTCATTCATACTCATTCCAGAACATCTTTACTTTGTTATGCTAAATGGATGTAAAATAAAAGCTATGTTACCATGTACTGGTCACTTCCTTGCATCCAGGACATGTTAAGAATTAATGAGCTCCTTGTCATGTCCTTTCTTTGAACTGCAGATCCTTTGCATACATTCCTACACTAGCAATCCTTTTTAAAAATTTGGGCGGGAAATTAAGCTTTATTTGTTTGCATTCTGAAATGAATTAAAAGATAATTGCATTGGTGTCAGAGAGCTGAATTCCGTCTCTCTGCTGAAGTGCACCACCCAATGGAGAGGAGCATCAGTCGAGTGCAGATGGAGCGTATGATTGTCCTGCACATAAAGGCAGAGAGAGAGGGAGACTCTTACAGCTGATGAGCGCTGATCCTGGTCCTTGACTCTGTGTGTGTTCATTCAGGGAAAGCGCTTTTGGCCCACTTACTGACACACACGAGTAATGAGAGTGTCAGTGGACTCGGCTGGTCGCTGGCTTCATTCTATCGCTCCCAGCTTCCCATATACATCTCCTCTTTCATCTGTTTCTTTTCTGTTTTTACACGGTGAAACTAAATTTGAATTCTATTTGTTCAACACAAACATATTGTCAAAATATTTTGGTTGATTAAACATAAAGCACATCCTGATTTTATAAAGTCGCAGGGTCAACATATATTGTTTAATTAAACTATTTTGTTAGATTATCCCTAGCATCAGATGGTAATGATAGGTGAATAACACCGCATGTGGAAGCACCTAACCATGACTGTAAGCCTAAACTTGACCTAACTTGTGCCTAACTTGTGCCTTGTGCCTATGTTCTGATTGACATAAATGTGAATTTGAATTCAATTAATCAGGAAGCTAAGTTAGAATGTATTTCAAAAACTTCTTGTTTTCTACCTCACTTTAAATTCAGTTTAAATTGATGAATTGAACTGGAATGGAAAAAGCATTATCAAATAAATATTTAACAAATTTCGCACAAATATTCAGCAAATCTGACTGAATTGAGACAATTAAGAACCTTGTTGCTATGGTTTTGATTTCACTTTTCAACAATTAAGTTTGTAATAATACAAAATGACCAACTCTCGATAACATTTTTTTAAATTTAGAGCCAAAAGAAATAATGTCCACAAACCACATGCAAATCGGTTACGCAGGCAAAAGCTCTCAGTGTGAACAACAACGTGAATCTGTTGTCGCAGATGTGCATGTTTGTTCTCTTATGCATGCAGTGTGAATTGGGCCACATGCTGTACGAAAGAAAGACAGAGGGGATAATTTTGAGGATGAGGAAAGTCCAAAGTGTGCATGCGTGTAATGGCTGTTGGCCAGGTCCAGTAGAGTAATGGTGCAATTGATTTGTTGATTGACCCCAGTGTCACTAAGGACACTTCTTCCTGTTCAGCCACTGCATTACTTTTATTTTCATTTTGGCCA